TTACACTGCTAAATTAGGGACAGCTAGCGCAGATAGCCCTCGTGTAGCTTTGCGCGAAATCCATAACAAACAAACAATCTTTTTTGTTGTTGTTAGCCCATTATGAGAGTTCTAGAGGTGTCACATCCATGCTTGATAATCGAGGAATGTCTTATGTTAGTGTCAATTTGTTGCGGAATTTAGATGAAACGAAAAAAGCTTATTACAAACGTTGGGGTGATATAGCGATATGTCAAACTTAAGCCACACTATCATTACATTGGGATAAGGATTGAGTAAACATGAGATAAAGGCCTGTAATTTATTTAGAATAACAAAAGATGGAAATAAGAATTTGTTGGATTCAAAGCAAGTGTTGGCAATCTTGAAGGAAGTCAAATAATCGTGTAAATGTATTGTTTGCTCTCACCACTAGTAAAGGACATTAGAAGCAGCAAGCCTTGTTCAGATGTAACATGACCTCATTCACTATTTATCAGCTTACTTGTAAAATGCATTTTAAGTGCTTGATTTTCTGCATTAAAAATAAAGTTCCACTCTACAAGTTTCAGCTCGGTCTAACTCTAACGTGTGTCACCATTGACTTAAGGGCTTTCAAATAACTGTAGTTTACTTTCTTTTCAAACACTCGTTACGTTGTCGTCACTTTAGCAAACAATCGTGAAACAGTTTGAAAAAAATATATATACTGATCGTGCAAGTAAATATCCTTGTTTTATTTACTTTAATAATTCGTTTTTAATTAACTCTTTGATTTATAAAACTTAGAAAACTTAATATCTTTCACTGTTGTTGTTTTTCATTTATTTTCGGGCAATTTTTAATGCAGTAGATAGAAACGTAAGTGTTGAGAAATTAATAACGATAGTTACCAGATGCAATAAAAAGTTTAGAAAAATCTTCATATATTGTCATGGGCAACAAGGCTTAGCGAAAGCTCTAACTCGTATGTATGAGTGAGTATATTGATTTGTATGATCTTGTATAACTTCCAACATGTATAATAATCTGTTACAAAGAATTTTTAGAGAAGACGTCTAACAAATTAATTAGCTAAATCAACTTTACGCAACCTTGCGAGGATTAATACATCTATAAGAAATTTTTGTAGGAATAGACAAATAGAAAGATAGATAGACAGATGCTGATGTAGTATATTACCTTAAGCAGTTTAGCGACTCGGAATAATCATTATAGAAATGGCTTCAGATTTTGAATATTGCACCAATTCCTCCTGTTTCCCTTCTCATTTATCTGAGCTTTCGGTTTGTCCCCCTCCCCTTTTCTCCCAGAGCATCATTAGTTTTCATGAATACTCGTGATGTTAATTTCTCTGGTATCTTTGAACTCAAGCAAAACAAATTAGAATCTTTACATTAAAAATAGGGTTGCACAACGAGTTAGGGATGCGTCACAAACAGATAGTTGTAATTAGTTTTCTCTTGAAATTCCAATCACATTATACGTGTGTGTGTGTTTATTCACAATGTTTTTTTAATAATTAATCTAATGGGTTGTTTATGTTATGTTTTGACTCTACCCGGAACAGCATTATGTGACCAGCCAGTGCTGCAACGTTAGTATCAAATGGGTTGATTGATCTTGTAGAATAAGGGGTGGTAAAATGGTTATAGTAATTCAAGTTACAAATATTCCCTGTTCTATTGGAGAATGTCATGTAATTACTTTTTTTTTAATTAAAGGAATTCTGGTAAAGATAGTCGGAAATATAAGATTAATCTATGCATTTTGAATATAACAGAAGACTTTGTTTTGTCGCTTTTATACTCTCAAAAGTCACCCAACTATGAACAAAAATTCGAATCCTATGTAACAAGATTTAAATTAATTAAAATATCCCAAATTTAGAAACGGTGGGATTATTTTTATTGTTTCCCAGCGAAGTGCAAACGTTTCTGAAACTGTAACAGAGCTTGTGAAATATTTTTTTTTTATCAGCGGTAAATTTACGGTCGCATAACATTAAAATCCGGTGTTTGATTCCCCGCAATAGATAAGTTCAAATATCCCATTATGTAGAAAAATAAATGTGTTTTAATTCTGTTTTCTTCCCTGAGTTATGTTACAGCTTCAGTATTTGTTTATCATAAACAAAGTGTTGATTTACAATAAAATAAAAATATGTTAATGCAAAATCATATTGAACATAAATAATTGTAATAATTTATTAATATGTTGATAACACAGTGATCCTAGATTTTTTCAGTCATGAACACTTCTTAGGCTTTTCTTACCTTGAGTATTTTCATGTTGTTTTGATCAATCTCAGTAAATGAATGTTTTTTGTTTTTTTTACCTCCAGTACACGCCAGTAAAAACAAAAAATACTGAACACTAGGTAAGAAACCTGAAAACAAGATTCGTCGTTTCACATTTTTTTTTTTTTTATATTTTAGTCGTCGTGGCTGGAGGTACTTTTCGTTTCGTGAAAAGCCAGTCACTGTTTACGTATATTATTTTATTGACTCGTACGAAATGATCTCAGCTGGAAATATCTACCATTATATTCTTAAACACACAACCCTCGGAGTGACAACAATGATCAGCTTTTCTGTGTGGGTTGTGATGAATACGAACGAGCCAGCTGAATGATCTGATCAAAGCTTTGGGGGCATGTTGGATATTATAGCTCTCGTCAGAGATATTTCTGCTTTATTGGAGTCTTATCTAATAATCTTCATTAACGAAATAGCGGGTAACTTTATCAGAGCCAATATAAACACCCATAAGGTTACATCTTTGATCGAGGTCCTGTATTTTCGTGACCAATGTAAATTTATTATTGGAGCATGGCCCTCTAGGCAGAGCCATAAACTATGATCTCAAAACAAATTTGTCCACCGGTAGCTCAGCGGTAAGCTCTTGGGAATTGTAACACTATAATTCTAGGCTCGGTTCTCGCTGTTAACGCGGCGCACATAGCACATTGTGTAGCTGTGAGCTAAAACCACCAGAAACTAAATTATGAAAAAACTTTTCATTTATTTCGATTTGCGCCGTTTTAAACAGACTAAGCTCACTAAGAACGTTATCAAAGTACGTGGAATAAATGTGAAATGAAAGAAAATTAATTATTACTCACAAAACTCCATAGTTACTCATTCTTATTAAGTGGAATCTTGAAAGCCGTGTTATAGATATGAACTATTATTATTATTATGTAATCCGAGTGTGTTGGGGAACCACCAAAAATGCTTTGGTCACCGTACGCAGAAATAACGTAGAAAAATCAAGACAGTGGTTTCCTTAAGCCTTTAATAAGGGAAAGTTGGTTTTTGTTTGAAGTTAAGCACAAAGCTACACAATGGGCTATCTGTGCTAGGAAGGTTGTTAACCAAAGGACTATCCATCAGCTTCACTTGAGGACGTCTAGTATCTGACTCCATTTACCAGGTTATAACCAGCTTGTTTGTCTACAAACTTGTGTACAGTAGCACCAACAAAGATACCAGGACACAAAACATCTTTATGGATCAAACCGGTTTCGTTATGGTTGAATCAAAATAAATTAATTACAGAACACCCGCAAATACATTCTCAGATTGATATTTTCGGTTGTTGTTGTTTTTGTTTTCTTTGGGGGGAGGGGGGCAAACTTCACACCTTTAATTCTGTTCCAATTATCTATATATATTTTAATATTTTATTACACTTCGTGCATTAAGCGTGGAGCATTGTGTTTTCTTTGTAATGCGTTGCAGGTAACGTTTTATATCTCAAATGGTCTATTTTTTACGCGCAGTACAAGTTCTCTAATGAGTTCACACTATTCACACATACGATATTGGCTATGATGAGATTCCGTGACTTTAAATCAGTGGTGTATGGAACCGCACCTCTATTTATTTATTTATTTTTTTGCATTTATTTCTTTTACTTAAAAATAATAAACAAGTTAATGAATAGTACTTAATGAACTTGTTTAGTATTTTTACAAACTACAGATAAAATATTGTATGTGACCTAAATATGACATTTCATAAACGTAATTGATGAGTAACTGGTAAATAAAAATAAATAAAGTTTCTGAAATGTATTGGGATACAGTTGGCGCGCCGACACACACATGTACTACTACTGTTTATAATGGAGAAGGATGACCTTTTCTCACAAAGTAGCATACATAACGGTTAACTGTGGGTTATTTGTTTTTGACCACATTGGCATGCAGTGCATGACATATCATTTAATAAAAAGATGAAATTTACTCATTAAAATCAAATCAAAACTGTTAAAATGGAATGTGGCTGAAAAACACGTTAGTATTTTCATTTAAAACCGTATCCCAGCTTAGATGTTTAGATTTTTACTACGATGTGTCAGTTTTATAGGGAATGAGTATTAGAAATGTTTTATTTCTGCGTTATTACATAACATCACAGCGATTACAGAAAGGGCATTCCTTAAAGATCATGAGTGTTTTGTGCTAGACTGCGATTACAGAAAGGGCATTCCTTAAAGATCATGGGTGTTTTGTGCTAGACTGCGATTACAGAAAGGGCATTCCTAACGATCCCGAGTGAATGTTATGAAGACTGTTTATAGCTTTTGCTGGTATGCTAGTTGTCTCAAATCGTTCATTTTCTCATAAAGTACATTGTCTTTGATACCCTCTTCCTCAGGTACACCTGTATTTTTCTGCCTTACCAGAAGATAAAGTCCCATACGTCAACAGTGTTGGAGAGAAATATCGAATCAAGCAGCTCTTACATCAGTTGCCGCCACACGACAACGAAGTCCGCTACTGTAATGGTCTCAGCGATGAGGAAAAAAGGGAGCTTCGTTTATTCTCGGCACAGCGGAAACGAGAGGCATTAGGGAGGGGCACTATACGTCAACTTCCGGTTACCCTTCAGTCATCAATGACTTGTGTAAATGTAAGTTAATATTCACTCATAGCTTGAAATCAACTTTACCTATTGATACTTCAGGATTTCCCCTCTTTAAAGTTACTATTCTTAATTATTTATTTTCTAGTGACATTTTTTTTTATTTTCCAGCATTAATATTGATTTTTTGTTGTTTGTAAAATCATCTAATGAAGATCTAATTTCTCAAGTTTTCAATGCCGCATATCTTTCTATATTTGAGAAACAAGTGCTTTACGGTTTGTTTAATAAAGATAAAACAAATAAAAGTTCTATTCAGATTGGAGGTTACAGTGAACCGTTTGTTATTCTTATTTTCTATATATGTAACAGCCTACAATAGGACTGATATGGGCATGAGCACAGTAGTCTTAGTGTCGTGAAATAAAATAGTTGCTCTAACATTAGGCAGTGTAGTTGACCACTAGATGACGCCACTTCCCTGCTACTAAATCTGTTTGCTTTGCCGGAAATAGACGAAGAAATCAATTTCTTATATTGAAGATAGTTTCTCACCTTAAGCACCTATTTTCTTTTAGCACATAGCCATTGCTCTGCTTCTGATCGTCTCTATAAAGTCTATGAAACTTGGTAATAATCTTACGAGTGGATTGGTCATGGGATTCCCATAGCCTTGGAGTCTTCATCAATACGCTTTTATTTATTGATTTTTTATGGTATTTGCTAGAGACTGTTTGATTTCCTCATGAGAGGTCCTCACGGAACACTTGAAACTTCTGAAACTCTCTGGTATTTACTGTCCCTTGGCATCAATTGTTCTTGATTGGAAGCTGATTTATGGTCCTCCCTATTACCGAAACATTCGTCACCTTATTTTTTATTAAATGTAACATCTTTATTCTATTTTCTTTAGTGAGTCAACTTTTTTGATCATGGAATAAAATACTACGTATCTTCCTTTTTTATTACTCGTGATAGTCTGTTAATTATTCCTTATTGTTTCACTAACTATACATTTAATTTACCAACAAAATACATCAAGTTGTTTTGAAATACTTTGCCATATTAACTGATATTTCTATACACAGTCAGATTTAACTAAATAATCCAACTTTGGTTTATTTTTGGCCAATGGCGTCTATATGAATTAGGAACTACCTTATGTGAATTCCAGCATCATTGGCCTGAGGAAAATCGAATTCCAATTCACGACAGCGAAAAAAGTAATATTAATTTGTTGATTTACTTTGATTAATGGGCATGACTTGTTAAACTAAATTTAATTCACCGCCACAGGTTCATTAAGATCAATATCATTAATTCGTAGTTTATAGTTATTGTGTATTTATGAACTTGTTTGAACTAGTTGAAACCGTTCGTCAAACAACATAATTGAGACAAAGCTGTTATTGGATAAGTTAGAATCGGTTGATTAATTTAATTGGATATCAATTTCAGATAAATCGGTTATGATGTAGAATCTTGTTGGGTAAATTAGTTTAATTAGGTTAATTAAACAGTTACGTTATGTTGTTGGATAAATTAGCTTGATTAAATTCGTTGAACAATGACGTGAGACTTTGAACTGAAATTGCATTACTAGCCTTAAGTACATTACTTGAATTGAAAGGACCTTAATTTTGGTAAAATTACTCTAGGCAGACACATATTCAGTAGCTTTGGTAAACTAGTCAAATCTAACGACAGTTGCGATGAGAGTATGGTGCCTGTTTAATCATCTACATCATCGTTATGGTTACTTCATTAACCGTTACTTCAGCAGGTATTGGAATATGTTGATTTACTATAATGTTACAATGAATTAATGTGGATTACTAGAATGTGTATTGAAATGTTAATAGTACAAAATTTTATTTAAAAAAAAATCATTGCCAAGAACAAATTTAGTTAAATTTTCTATAGATTCATTAACGTATCCCAGTTAATGGAAGTCATCGAATGAATAGGTACGTTGTTTTCTGTTCATGTTCTTGGAATGAAGACTGTTTTGCTGATAATATCGGAAAAGCTGACCAGATAGATCCATAGACGGAATTAAACTGCCAGAGGTCATCGTTCCCACATCAATGCCGTAAATCACGATGCTCTTTCTTTTGAAGCGTCGAAGAATGGGGCTTCTGTACAAAGAAAGAATACTTCTGTGAAGTCAGCATGTCTCTCCTAAGCGGTCACCTGGTGGTCATTAGCTATTGATTTCTTTGAAGACAAGACTCACTGCCTCAATCATCGTTGTTTCGTTTTTTTTCGGTTAACCTCCACGTGCACGTAGCTGACTGCAATGACACTAGAAATTGCTTTTGTGATTGTAGAGGCCAGTCAGCTAGATGGTGAAAAGATTGAGAGGAGACCAGGAATAAATGGACAAAGTCAGTGAATCGAAAAAAATAGATCTTTACTTGTGTGAAAGGTTCATAGTCTGCTTAGTTTGTCCTCCCAACACTTTCTTGAACTCGAACGCGTTGTTTCTCTCTCTCACACACAGATATTTATATTGAAATATCTATTCTGTGGTTAAGCAAGCTAACATCGTAATCGAATTAAGTAAACTATATATATAAAATTATTTAGTAAATTTGGAAAATTTAGATATAGCTCAAGTTGAATATATATTTATGTGTGTGTGTACAGCTACGTTATATGTTTCCTTATAAGTAAAGTAAGATCCTCTCTACCCTGACCTCATCCTCTCCACTACTCCCTCTTGTGACACTTTATCCCATAGGAAGAGGTATTCAAACTGTTTTCCACAGATGAATCATCCTGTCCGCAGCTGTTAACGACTAAATGACAATCTTTTACCGGTCATAAAATTATAATGCTTCATAAAGACGTGCTAGAAAGTTTGATGTTGAAACACAGAGGGTTCGAGGGGGTAAAATTGGCACGCGCGGGGAGTAGTGGTAACAGAGAGGGGTGAGCTGTTCTCTGGTGATTACTAAATATTACTGCTGAATCACTTCTCAGTAGTATAGTTCGTGTACTAAAAATTCGATATTTTCCTTCGATTAATTTCAACTGAGTTATAAATCATGTTAGCTGGGGTTATTTTTTGCAACGGTAGATGATAAAGCGTAGTTAACCCAGATCACAAGTGTCTCTGTTCTTGTAACTGCATTGTGCAAGGGCTTGTAAGGCATCTTATTGTTTCTGGTGTTCCTATTTGGCATCTTATTGTTTCTGGTGCTCCTGTTGTTTTTTTTTTCTCTTCTTACCAGTGTTGTGTACTCCAAAGTTCTTGCATTGGAAGTCCTGAATTTGAAAGTTAAATAAACAGTTTTCTGTTGTATTTCATATTTTGGATATATATATGCACACACACACACACAAGTCTGGTAAAAAATACGTTGTGTTTTAGTATACGCAATAATTTAGGGTTTAAATATGTGTGTATGACCCGAAATAATTGCGAATACTAAAACTGACAAAAGTCGTGAACAAGACGTTCTCTAGAAGAAATAACCAACTACATAACTTACACACACTTGTCACGTTTAAAACACGAGATAAAACACCTATTTTTAACTTCTGTGTCAGAGATGAGAAGCAGTTAAATTTTTTTTAATCAGTTTGAATTAAATAAGTTTACAGCAAGTAAAGACTTTGTATTGTTTTCATACTGCTGGTAGTATTTTCGTAAGGATCTTCCCGGAACTTCATAAGCAAGTGCCCCCCATTGGGACAGCGGTATGTCTGCGAACTTATACTGCTAGAAACCAGGTTTTGATACCCGTGGTGGGCAGAGCACAGCTAGCCCTTCGTGTAGCTTTGTGCTTAATAACAAACAACATCATAAGCAAGTTTCCTGCCTTTATTTCAGAATATTTCTAATACTTCATATGCTAATTTCGATCTGTAACTAACACTTCACAAGAAGGTGGTCAAAGCTTTGTCTTCGAAAAGCGTAGCCCAAGAGTTGGCGGTAGGTGCAGATCACAAGCTCCTACTGTCTAGTGTACCAGTTCAAGATTAGGAACGGATAGCGTGAAAATCCGAAAACAAACTTGTTTAGTTTACATACTTGTCGGTCAAGATATTCTTCGTTAATTTCCATAATAGACAAATACAAGTATTTCATACAAACTTGTTACATCCAGAATCATATTTGTTTTATCATGGATCACGTTAGCGTTGAACAAGATGCTACGTTTTAAAATATAAGCATTTTATTTGATCAACTTTATTGAATATTTATTTTATTTTCAAATATCTAGTGTGAAGAAGCGATAGGAGGCGGAGACATTTGTGTTTTTGCTTCTCGTGCTGGACCAAACACTTGCTGGCATCCCGCGTGCTTTGTATGCTCGGTCTGTGGGGAACTGCTCGTCGACTTGATCTATTTCCACAGGGAAAACAAACTGTACTGTGGTCGCCACCACGCGGAGAGTCTGAAGCCGAGATGTGCAGCTTGTGATGAGGTAAGTCCGTTATAGAAGCGTGTAAATATGTGTGGGATGTGGTGGAGACCATCATAATTCGGAATGTCACCCCCCAAAAAAACACAGTAACCCACTACACTGTAACTGCCAACAGCAACACACAGCTATATATAAAGGATGTCCTAAATATAAGGACATAAAAATTAGAATCTACAATATACACAATAACTAAAAGCAAACACACATAAACATACTGAAACAAACACACATAATCCGGAAATAAAAACAAACAGTATTTCCAACACCAGTAACACACAATACACCCGTACAGACAACAACATACATTTACGCAGAGGCAGCACAATTACAACTACTAAATCAAGAAACGCTAATGCCAACAAAACAAAAATCAAATCACAGAAAGCCTACCAACAAACATACTTGAAACCGAAACAAATTCCCCTACCAAAAAACATACTTGAAACCGAAACAAATCCCCTACCAACAAACATACTTGAAACCGAAACAAATCCCCCTACCAACAAACATACTTGAAACCGAAACAAATCCCATCTTTGAAGCATTTAAAAATACATCCTTAGTTTTCATACAACAGCACAGAAACCCCCAAAACAGTACAGACGGTTTCACACTTTTAACAGAAATTGCTAAACAACACCTTATACCTGTTATTCCACACATCATACATATATTCTTGGGCCCAGAAACCACAAAATCAATTAACAAAACATCAAAAACCGAGTAAAATATAAAAAGTCACCCCATTCCAGAGCTTCACCTACACCGGCCATAGGAAATCTGTGTAAATACAGACACATTACATGTATGAATATAACTTCCGTACGTATGGACGTCTGTGTAAAAATAAACACATTACATGTATAAAGATAACATCCATATCTGTGGAAATCTGTTTAAAAACAACAGACACATTACATGTATAACGCATTACAAGTGTTATACGCCGTTATAATAAACGTGTTGCCTGCTGTCACTTTCTGGAAGATGTTTCTATTTATCACTTACAAGCTGGGATATCCATCCTTTGTCCGGATTATGAACTTTTAAAAAATGTGGAGGTGGATGCTATGATAAATAACATAAAAAATCGTAACTTTCACACAAGTTATTTATAACAGATTATTACAGTATTCATTATTACCTCATTAAAAGTTTTGTATAAGCTTTAAAAACTCAATATGTATATACTTAAAACTTGGTATACATTTTGCGATGGTCAGGGTGACTTTGTATTAAGAGGTAGAGGCGAAAGTAATGGCGGTAAGGGTGCTTTCTGTTACCCGCTTTCAACACCCAACTCTTAATGTCCTTCCACAGTGTTTCACGTGATTAATTAATTGACGGTCATTGGCCGCAAGAGTGACACGGGTTAATGTAGGAAGTGGGTATAACTCAAGAAACGGCTCTTTATATCAGCATTATAGTGATTGTTGGAGTAAAAGCTTCAGCTTAGTTTATTTATTATTGCAACAGTGTCGGCCTTTTTTCCATTGCATTTCTCCATAGGGAGTGCTAGTGCACTATCCGAGATATGTAAGACATTGTGTGCTCTACCCCCACATTTTGTGTATGTTCTGTTATAGAAAATTTAATACGTTTTTTGTGTAAGGACGTGGCGCCATCTATGTATGCAGTTAACGTTAACTTACGTCAAAGATAATAAATGCTCAATAACAGCAATAATGGGGGTAAAAGGGTTGTTAGCCCCCCATTAACAATTCCTTGTCCCAAATATCATCCCACAAAGTTTGGTTGAGATTGGCCCAGCGACCTAGGAATAGTTAGATAAGAGACAAACAGACAGACACATATCTTTTTGTGCTTTATGTATATATATTTGACCTAGCGATAGTGACTGGAATAGAGAAGAGATAGTACAAAATGAAAGACTAAAACAATGTTGTCAATTTACAGTGTATGAAATGATTACACCATGACTCTGTTAGAGCGGTGTATACAGCTTACTGGAGAGTTTCTTGTAGAATTTGGTGATTACTTCCATATTAAGTTAATATCAGGATTACCCACAAATACATAGCTATCCTAAGGAAATATATATACTGATTGTGCATTGAAACATCATTGCTATATTGTGAGGAGAAGAAATCCACTGTAAATTTTAAAGTAAAGCCCAGAGATACAGCTTTTGAATGAATTATATATATTTTTTCATTTATTACAACGTTTCGACTACTCGTATAGTCATCAGCACAACGAATCAACATCACATTAACATTAGAAACTTTAAAAAATTATGTACTGAGAACAACATTAATAGAAGAAAAATATGAGAAGCATGTGAACTAAAACCTAGTTTAAATCTAAATACAGGTGTCGTTCTATACGTTTTCCAAATTAGAACAAAATCCTCGCGCATTATTTCATACAGTAGACAACAATTACCTAATGATGACCACACGAGTGGTCGAAACGTTGTAATAAAGTTGAAAAAAACTAATCCACTCAAAAGCTGTATCTCTGAACTTTTATTTATACTGCTGTGTTGTACTATATTCTTCAAGCAGGTATACTGATGAAAAATTAGTGATTTCAAAGATTCACGAAACATCTTAATATCTCAATGATTCGTTCGAAGTGATGACTTCATCTGTTACTTTTCCCTGGTTTTATAATTACGCGGGAAAACACTGCATCAGTAACAACAATGTCCTTCAGAATAATAATAATAATTAATTATTGTTGTTTTCTCAACATAGTACACGTTAAATAATTCATTTTATTCTAAAGCCACTCCGCCCTAATTTTTCTCTTTTGACTTAAAGGTATTTAGATTTCTGCTTTAACGCAAACGCGACTTTTATGTTTCTTGCGTCTATTTATGGGTATCAAAATTTTATTCAGTTTTAACTCCGGTAAATTAAGTCTACCATCTTAGCCAAAAGACAAACACAAACACACGCATATTCCAAACTAGATAGAACCTTTATATATATATATATATATATATATTACATCACTAGATAACACTACTTCGAAGTTATTTGTTACTTTCACCTTTCTTGGCGCAGAAATATCCATAAAATAAAGATTCACGATGTTAGGAAACGTTCAAACCAAGTAGGTTAACAAATAATACAAAAACCCTGTAACCTGAGCACTTTCTTTAGTTATAAGATTCTAGTAAGAGCATAATATATTTGTTTATAGGCCACTATATATATATCTGATATTGATTATTTATAAAATCGTAAGTTTGACAGTGGAGGTACATGCATTGCCACGTGGTTTTCTGTAATCTAAGCTCAAAACTTTCACATTTTATATAATGATTAGTGGTGTCCTTTGCCGTTTCTTACAGATTGTTTTTGCTGACGAATGTACAGAAGCAGAAGGAAGAGCTTGGCACATGAAACACTTCTGTTGTTTCGAGTGTGATCGCCAACTAGGGGGTCAGAGATACATCATGAGAGAAGGGAAGCCATATTGTCTCCACTGTTTTGATGCTATGTTTGCTGAGTACTGCGACACGTGCGGAGAACCAATAGGAGTTGACCAAGGACAAATGTCACATGAGGGTCAGCACTGGCACGCCACAGAAACGTGCTTTCGCTGTTATACTTGTCATGTGCCACTACTGGGGCGTCCATTTCTTCCTCGCCGTGGTCTCATCTATTGCTCTGTTCCTTGTAGTAAAGGTAATACGTGATGATTTGGAGTAATTTACAGTACAAGAAAAGTTCAGAAATAAAACTTTACTCGTGACATTTTTTTTTCACTAGTTAATTTCCACTTTTTTTTACATGAGTATAAGGCACCGTTAAAATGAGTTATTGATCAATTTTGTTGAGACAGTTTGGACGTAAAATCTTACGTTCGTTTAAGTTCCTTCTAACTATAAAACACTGATGATGTCCCCCGGTAAGTCTTCGAATTTACAATGCTAAAATCAGGAGTTCGATTCCCGTCGGTGGACACAGCAGATAGTCCGGTGTGGTTTTGCTATAACAAACACACACAAACTAAACACTGATGACCTTGTCATTCATTACCCAAATCGTGCTTTGATATGAATGTAAGAGCATTTATTCAGCAGACTTAACTTATGTTGTTTTTCATTAATTGACCAAAAGCAACAATCACTTGGTTTTCAGATATTTCTAAGACACCATTCGAACCAGAGACAATACGGTAGGAAATGAATGACTCAACCGTGTTTCATTACTTGTGAACTTATGAGTTTGCATTAATGAAATTTGCCATATACAATCATACCTGATAGATTACAGATAGTACAATGTATATTACAATTAAATTAAATAATTCTCAGTCCAATGAAAGAGAAATCTCCAGAGACGTATTCCGGAGCTCTAGTTAGTTCCAATAATGGATCTTACTCTGTACAATTATGTGTCCCTTTTGACCCTGAAATTATCAATGATCCGCCCCTCTAGCGGCGATACAGACTCCAGTGTTGGAGCCAGGTCGCGACATGCCAGTTGTCGAGCTGAACCTGGAAGTGATTCTGGTTCTTCATTCAGTCTGGAGACTCGACTTCATCCCATAGAGTTCTTGTTTAAAGCTCTGCCCTCTAGTGGCAGATCTGCTAAATGTTCGACTTCCTGCGGTGCCATTCCTCGCAGTAGAAGTTATGGGGGGGGGGGCTTTTGAAACGATTTGAAGTGCAATATAGAAATGCTCTTCCATTCTCAGACCCCGGGAGTTAAATCTAACACATTGCCACAGAATTGAAAGTAAAGTTGTGGTTAAGTTAACTGAATAGAGGAATTGACTGTCACGGTTATACCCTCACAGATCATGTTCAGTGATATAATTCGGCTCAATTCTTAGATCTTCAGATCAGCTGCTCAGCACATTAACCACTCTACCACGCTCGGCTATTTGTTACATTAATTCCATTTAAATGTAGTACATAAATGCTAATTAATTATAGATGTCGTTACTGATTAAAAAAAAAACAGTATTGTGATGCCTATAATTCATGTATTTTGAAATATATGAATGTGCCTTCTCAAACGACTATTATATAACAGTCAGAAGAAATAAAAGTGTTACAATGACCCTTTAGTTTCTTGAGATGATTCGTGGTTCTTTCACAGAGTATGTGCTTCTTCTCAAACAGTCTAAGTGAAAAAAAAAGACAGGAAACAGTTTTTAAAAATATGATTAAAAAATAATAATTATATAAAATCCATAAGAAACAAATATATAACTTTTTTAATTTGAAAATATAACTAAAACAATGTCTGCATTGTAAGATAGATGAACCCCTTCAAAATACATTATGTTTGTATTTGTAAAAATATTGTGTGTAGGCTTATGAATTGTCCCGTCTACTTTATTATTAACCTAGAAACCCGTGGTGGGCACGGCACAGATAGCCCATTATGTATCTTTATGTTTGTGTACAGCCACTTCTTACTATAGGTGTTACATTCATGGTCATATTTTTCAATCTGTAGCAAAAAAAAAATGATCAACGTCAATTCGAATGAAAACTAGATGCTGTTTTTATAGAAATTACATTTAAAAGCTTCTCTCTGTTATTAGGAACTTAATTTCAGTTCAAGTCTTTGCGGAAATGTCCTTCTAGTACTATCAAGATGTTAAGACTAACAGTTAAAAAACTACATTATCGGGACGAACTTGCCAAAGTTTAAAAGTTATGTTGTAACTTTTATTTTATCTGTTTCGGCAAAAATTATTTTCAGCAATAATAGAAATATATGCAAAATGATATTATCAACTTTTGGATTAAAATTATTATCAACTTTTGGATTAAAATTATTATCAACTGTTGGATTGAAAATTAGTAAAATTTTACTGATATTTTTGCTCTTTCTTTTATTGATAACAAATGTAGTGTGAATATACTTTTGTGCGCACTGTTTTTCCTAAAATTTGATTGTTGTTCATCCGTTATCAGGCGAACTACCAACGCCTAAATCAAGTTCAAGAGAAAGCCCAGTGACATCATCTCGTGAGCAAAGTGTGAAACAAAGTCCGAGCCAGAGCCCTTCCTTAAGCCGCAAGTCTGGAACCTTTTCTCTTCCATACCAGGACAGTATCTCGGATCATAGCTCTCTTCGCTCGGAGCAAACTGAAAAGGTAGAAAACATTTGGAGAGCTCAAACAAATGCTGCCGGAGAAATCAGTATCGTGGAGGAAATAAGCAGTAGCAGCCCCCGAGGGTGCAGCACTATGTATGGAACGAGTAGTGGTAATGGCCGAACTAGGGAACCGCTGAATCTATCGGACTTTACACTAGACGCCCTGATGGCAAATGCTGAGGTGTTTGTGGAGGTGGTTCAAGAAATCCAACATCGTCAACAGAGACGACAGTTATCTGTGGTCCAGAAACATCAACAACGTCTCTCTGGGGCCCACTTCTCTATGCCAGATCTCACGCGAGACGCCAGTACATCGGCGCAGGAGACACCACCACTGACTCCGCCAACAGTGCGTGATGTATCAGAAAAATGTAGTCAGGTGAAAGAGAAATCTCCAGAACTATATTCTGGAGGTCGAGTTAGTTCCAATAGTGGATCTTCCTCTAGACAATTATGTGTCCATTTTGACCCTGAAATTATTAAAGATCGACCTCCTAGCGGCGGTACAGACTCCAATGCCGGAGCCAGGTCGCGACATACCAGTTGTCGAGCTGAACCTGGAAGTGATTCTAGTTCTTCATCCAGTCTGGAGACTCCGCCATCATCCCATAAAGTTCCTGCGAAAGCTCTGCCCTCTAGTGGCAGGCCTGCCAAACATTCGTCTTCCCGCGGTGCCATTCCTCGCAGTAGAAGTTACGGGGGTCACCCTTCTTCGGGGGAAAGCTTTCGAGACGATTTAAATCACAGTGCAAGAAAGCTCTCCCATTCACAAACCCCGGGAGGTATATCTAACGCACACGACAGGGGAATTGAGAGTAAAGTTGTGGATAAGTTTCTTAATTCGCGAATTGTTAAACAAGACGATGAAGACTGTTGCAGCACATGTTCAAGTTCAAGTTCTGACGACTACCCCTACGAACTACCACCGAGAAGAGCTTACGGGGGCGTAAGGATTTCCTACGTCAGCAATGATGCCCTTGCTGTGGCTCGTCAGAGAACTCGTACTCTTCCCTTAACTAGAGCATCGAATGATGACAGAAAAAAAGAGCAAAATAAAAATTGTATTCTTTCGTGACATTATACATCTATCTTCGATATATCCAAGCCTTCCTCCAAAGCTTGTGGCTCTGTATGTCATACAGCTATATGCAACATTGAGTTTCTCCGTTTCTTTTAGTTGCACACAAGTTATAGGATTCTTTTTTCGAATATTTTACAAAGTTGTTTGTGAAATCAATACTGAAAACTGTTTGAAGTTTTATTTTTAAAAAAGTATTAAAAGTTGTGTTATTGGATAGACAGTAATAATAATAATAGTTTTTACCAAAATGCGATGAAAATACAAAGTTTTCAATGTTATGTACACACGTGATAAACAAAATTTTAAGACATTATTTCAACATTAGTGACAGATAAGTGACATTGCAATGTTAAATGTTATTTCCAGTGCCAAATTTTTGAGGTATTGCTTTTCAATATATATATATATATATATCAATGAAGTACTGTTACAGTAATACTACATCAGATTGTATGAATTTGGATTGGCGAACGCTGTCTTGATATAACTTAACCACAACGTTCATTTTTCATTGACAAGAATAGTTTAATCCAGATTTCGAACAGTTACTCGTACCGGGCTTGTAAATCATTCAGATTCTACTGGTCATTTTTGTCTTAGTTTCCGCTCTATGCAATAGCGGTGTGTTTCACTAAAAAAGTACTGTAGTCCATTACAAATCAATAATAAAAACATTGTCTTCCGAGTAAATACAATTAATTGTATTACACGCCTTTCATTATTTTTTTCTTGATCATCTCTGGTTTTCACATATTATTCTGATGCCTGACTTACATATGTTTCCATTTGTATCTCTAAGGTAAAGTGTCAAATATTACCATTTTTACCATTTATCAATTAGCCATTGTGATTTACTTTGACTTGAAATGACACAATGAACTGACTGTGTTAACAATAAAACTTAAAATACCTATAAAAAAAATTAGGTATATTGCTTGAGTGAAGTTGTAACTTTACAGAATGTAACCTAAATTTTCATAAAATGTAACACGATTTGCACGATATCGGTAAAAACATCGTAAATTTGTTTCATTTTTGATTTTCTTACGAACAATGAATGAAGTGATTTATTGAAGACCATACCATGGAAATCGCTTGGTGCGAAATATTAATTTGTAAACGACTGAATAAACCCCTACTTTCTGGGATATAGATCATGTTACAAGTATTTGACATTTCGTTTTTCAATTATTATTGTTCTGTTATCTAAAGCAGCTTATATGTTTTCTTCTTTTTAAATAAAATTTGAAAAAAAAAAGAAAAATTCAAATCAAATAATTATAACTCTAAAGATTAGTTTTAGTGCCTTTTGTGGGCACATTGAAATTTTGTTGAGTCAGTAAAAGAGAATGAAGCTTGTAAGAATTTATTTATTTCTTAAATGCCATTAACCACATTAAAAATATACAACATAACTAGTGTTGTAATTACCAGAAACAAATTTTTTATACAAAATACTTAAATTGGGCTTCTCAGATATACACTTATTGTTACAAAGTTTAATACTATTAGTAAAGAATATTGTGCGGGTTATCCAAATAGCTGTTTAATCGTTCTAAATCAAAGTAACAAGCCCAAAGATTGATCAGTGAAATTTTACACCATTTTGTATTAGACGAGGTTTAATAGATGTTGGGTATAATACTCCTCCTCTGTGGTCTCTTCTAGTGTATGATGAATTCAAACTGTGTGTGTTGCGTTAGAGCAATGTATGTTGAATTAGATTTTGTACAAAATTCAGATTTATACCTTAGAAGTTATAGATCATTAACTATTAAACCAGTATTGATTTTTGTATATATTATTTGTGAATATAAAACAAAAACAAAAGAGAGTAAAGCGTTGCTCATTCTTGAAAAATATGTAGAAATAACTACTTTTTTCTTATCTTGTGATAAACGTGTTATTAAAATCCTAATTACAGATCCATATTATATCTAGATCAGTTACTCATAAATTCGTTTTATTGGTAGCAAATGTTTTCATATTTGAAGCTTCTCACAATATTGATAAAACACGAAGCATGATGATATTTAAATCATAGACGGTCATCGTACCCATGAGACAATTGACAGGTGATTCATAGTTAACTGCTTCTACTATTATAATGTGACGAAATAGTTCATTTTTCCCTAAACAGTATTTTGGATTATTTATTTGGTATTCTGTTTTCCTCAGATGTTTCTTGTTGAAGTATTATGAATTGAATGAGGTGAGTCACGTCATATTATAAAAACATTTCATTGTTTTGCTATTAAGCACAAAGCTACACAATGGGCCATCTGTTCTCTGTCCAACACAAAGAATCAAATCCCGGTTTTTAGCGTCACAAGCCTTTAAACTGAACGCCGTACCACTGGGAGACAAAGTATTTTATAACGCAGCGTTGCATTAGCAAATCAGAAACATACATTTGTGTATTTTATACATGCGTTTATAAAATTGTTGTACATAGTGTAAACGCCCTAATTTAAAATCCAGAGAAAAGCCACATTCTCTAAGGAATGAATGAGTAATTAACCATTATTTCATAACGTAAGTGTTCAATTAACAATATAGTTTTATTAACAGATGGAGCCACCTAACGATAGCCAGTGTTACTGAAGTACAAATATACCAAATTAGTGTTTATTAAACATGCGAAAATGCTCTCCACAGCTGGCGGTACAACCAATTAAGGAATGCCTTAGGCCTATACTACGTGTGTCATCAAAATAATAATAAAAATAGGCATAGGCCTTTTATAAAGAGAAACTGCAGTCCACAGCAGAAGGAGTGGCAAATGAGAGAGTGTATCTGATTACATTTTAAATTGTGCTTTTGGTGAAGAAGAATAAATCTGTAATATAATCATTAAAAACTTGGTCCATATTTTAATACAGACTAATAAATTGGGCGCAATATCGTACTATTACTGACACAACTAAATTAATTTAGATTATATACGTTTACTTACAAAGGACTAAAAATTCCATGAAATATTATACCCTCATCTTCTTTATACGAGACCTAATTGTATTTGTTTAATTACTCAAGCTGTGGTAATGAGCCTTAAATAGGCGAAACTGCAGCTCAGCCATTTAAGTAAATCCTTAGTCCTATACAAGCTGTGATAATCTTTGTTTGTAATTAAGCACAAAGCTACACAATGGACTATCTGTGCTCTGCCCACTACGGGTATCGAAACCCGGTTTCTAGCCTTGTAAGTTCGCAGACATACCACTGGGGGGCATACAAGTTATGTTATCAAACTAAATAAATTCGGTAAGACCTCATGTAAGGCAGATGAGTATATAATATTTGTGGGGTTTTTGACTCCATTTTATCTCGCCGTCTATAAACCTTAATTAATTTAGTCGTATGAATAAATTAAGATATTGCGCCTAACTGTTTAATGATTATATCGCTGATTTATTTACATTTCCCCAATGGTAAAATTGAAAATACATTCAGATACAAGTGATATTTTATATGTTACCGTTGGTGAAAAAGAAAAATTTATAACATATAGAATCATTGAAGTGTTTGTTTGGGTATGATATCGAAAAGTAATAGTTAAAGATATTAAGAATGACTTAAATATTAGATAAACGTCATAATTATTAGAAGCTTAACTATATTTCGTTGGTTTGTTGACCCAAGCTGTGGAGATGAAGCCTGAATATGCAAAACTGCAGTTCACAGCAGAAGGTGTAGCGAATAAACAAAATGCAACAGGCCTGAAGATCAGAGATTAAATTTGAAGTTTTACTTGTCGTGAAAATAAAATAAACTTGTAATACAATCGTTTATCATTTTATCTGCTATATTAAACACAATAACAAATTAGGCACTATGTTATATTATTCACACATTAAAATTAAATTATGTTACTATATGGTGAGTTACAAAGGACTCAAAAATCCCATAAATATTTTATACAAATCTTTTATAAGAGGCCTAATGTATTTGTTGGTTCAATGTCCATAGATCTGCTGAAAATTTTTAGTCCACAGCAAAGGGAGCGGTAAATCAAATAATATATTAAGCTTGTACGTCACATACTTTCAATTTTACTTTTGGTTGAAAGAAAGCAAATTTCTGATATAATCCTTAAACTGTTGGCTCACTCTCTAATACAGAATTTAAAAAAATCAAGCAAAATACCATATTATCACTGAGTCACCTAAATTAGTATAGTATATTATATGGTAAGTTAACAAAGACTAAAACTTCACGGCTATTATTTACACATCACCATTTTAACAGACCTAACCGTTTTTCATTGTTTTCTTATCCAAATTGTACAGATGAGCCTTTGTCAGAATTTAATATATAATTCTTCTCCAATTGTCAGAATTTAAAGGCTTTTAGTTATATTTCTAAGTGGTATAAATATATACTATGTTGTTGTTGGGCTTAGGATTTTTTATACAGTAGGTGTCTGTGACTTGTTAACGATAAATTCAACGATGAATAAACAGCACACACTTCACCTGTTTTCAAAATAATATATATATTCAGAACAAGTTAACATATGTACAATAAATTCTTCAACACTATAGATATTATAGACATATCATAAATACTATATATGTAGTTCTCTCCTTCTTGTCAAATATCCACTTAGGCCTATTCAATTACTTTAGAATTTTCAGTTGACAAGCCGAACTATCTTCTCTATTTCTATCACACTAGTATTCTCTGTGATTCACTTACAATTGTGGCGCGAGTTATTGTAATCGTTTGGTTTTCTTTCTTTTGAAGATCCTTTGTCAAAGTGCACTCAGGCTGATTCAATTACTTTAGAACCACGCTTTGACGGAATAAAATTATTTTTCTGATGTTCTTTTCTACTGTTAGTTTCACTCTAACATATTAAACGTTAGGCCTATCACTTCAACGGTAGTTAACTTCACACCAATTTTATTCTCTTTTGGTATTATGCTGCTGCTTCCAGCTCGTCTCACTCTGTTTATATCTTTATCACTTAATCGTCTATCCGCCTTCTATATTCGCGACGTCAATGAATTATTAACAAAACTTCCTATAATCTTCTACTTTTAACTCTTATTATAATAAACAATAATAAAATATTCACTCACAAAAATAAATGAATCACTAATATCTAAACCAAAGAGTCTTTTATATTATGACATAATCCCCTCTTCAAGATAAAATATTTACAATATTTTTTATTACTATATACAAAGACTATTCTTAGTCCATACACAAGTCTGCTCATACTGTCTGCTCCAACATTTGCAGTCCCTTTGATAGCTTCAATGTAGTTCTGAAGGTACAATTCTCACCTCATGATCCTCGCACTGTCGATCTTGCACCTCTGAACGAATGCAAGTGGTTGCTTGTCTGTCTGGATGATGAACTCCTTCCCATATAGATAGTTCTAAAATTTCTGAATGGCAAATATTATGGCCAGACAATCTCGTTCAATCATGGAGTTGTTCTTCTCACTATTTAACAGCTTTTTACTTATATATGTTACTGAAAACAGTCCATCTTCATGTTCTTGTAAACGTACTGCCCTAATTACAATGTCTGAAGCATCAGCCTGAACAATGAATGGTTTGTTGAAGTCTGACATTCTAAAAATTAGTGAGATTCCCAACATGTTCTTTAACTTCTGGAATGCCACCTGGTGTGGTTGTTCCCACTTCACCTTGTTGGGCAAGCCTTTCTTGGTCAGGTCAGTAAATGGTGCAGTAATTTCAGCATAATTTGGGATGAATTTCCTGTAGTATCCCACTAACCCCAGAAAGGATCTTACTTGCTGCTTGGTCATTGGAGCTGGTGTATCTTGTATGTGGATTATTTTTCCTTTTCCATGGCTGTCTGTTGGCCCATCCCCACTGTATGCTCAACAAACTCCAGCAAAGAATATCCGATGTATCACTTGAATGTTCTGATGGTGAGGCCTGCTGCCCTCACTCGCTGGAACACTTGTCTAAATCTCTTCAGATGGTCTTCCCATCTTTCAGTGTGTGTCAGAATGTCATCCATATAGTGCTCAATGTTGGTGCTGTTGTGCAGAATCCTCCTCCTCATGTGCTTGAATGTAGCTCCTGAATTGACTAACCCAAATGGCATCCACTTAAATTGGTAACATCCATCTGATGTCACAAATGATGTCTTCTTTTTAGATCCCATCTCCATCGGGATTTGCCAATAACCTTTACTGAGGTCGATCTTTGAAATGAACCTGGCCCCATCTAGTTTTGTCATGATGACCTTTGGGTTGCCCATAAGTTCAGAGTCGAACTTTGTCACGAGGTTCAGCTTCCGGAAGTCTATGCAGAAATGGTTTGATCCATCCATCTTTTTCACGATTACAACTGGTGAACAGTGGGCTGAATTTGAAAGCTCGATTATTCCAGCTTCCAACATTGTCTCAACTTCCCGCTATATCAGATCTGTCATTGAATAAAGCATCTGATAGGGCTTCACTTTGACTGGATCCCTGGTTGTGGTCTCAATCTTGGTTTGCACAATGTTTGTCTTTCCTGGTTTATCCATGAAGATATCTGCGTACTGGCACACAGTAGGTCTTGTAACTCATCAGTTTGCTTGCCCGTCTGTTCTTCACTGATGTTTACATCTTTGTATGTTTCATCTCCATCTAGTGGTCTTAGGTTTAGTAGGTCCTCATCTTCTACAACAAAGTCACTGTCTTTTGATTCTGCATCTATGATGGCCAGACCTGCAACATCCATCTCTGTTTCAATAGCTGCACCCATTAGGTCTTATTCTCTCCCAAAATACTTCTTCAACAGATTGGCA